TAGAAACTACTAGTATTTGATAAGTTATTGGAGTGTAAGTTAAAGATGATGACCAGTTCAATCTTCTATTTTTCTTAAATTTTTAACTTTTATTTTATTTTTTTTTGTTTGAGTCCACTAATTACTTTCCTTTTTGTTAAAAATTGCAATTTAATCCAATATAGTCACTTTTTAATTGCACAGTATAATAGGGAATCTCAAAAACTTCATATATTTTTAACAAATTAAGTGCTATATGAAAATCTATATTCTACTTTGAAAAAATAATTATCTTATACTTAAAATTGTATTAAATTATAGAATTATTATTTTTGGATCAAAAATTCCTTTTAATCTTAGGCTCTCCTCTCCTATTCAAATGTTTTGATTTTGTTGTTTAGATCGTAAAATAAAAAATTTGTAAAAAAATACAAAACAATTTATAAAAAATCATAACGTTCTTGTAATTAAAATTTGAGAAATTTTTATAAAATTATTTAAATATTTTAAATAAAATTTTTTATATATTAATTTATTTAAAATATTTAAATAATTTTATAAAAAATCTTCAAATTTTAAATATTAAAATATTTTAATTTTCACTTTTTTTTTCCAATATACAAACCTCTTCTTTTAGGAAAAACACTTCTTAAGTCCTCAAATTTATCCCAACATAGCATTTAAGTCTTTAAATTAAAAATGAAATAGATAAGCCCTCTAATTTCATTAATAATGCAAATAAATCCTTCTTATTCATGGGTTTTTATACTTTCAAGATGATATTAAACATGAAATACCACTTGGTTCATTTGTAAGAATGCTTATTTACATCAGTTGTGGAATTGAAAGATTTCTCTATTTCATTTTTAATTTAGGGATTTAAATATTATTTTAGGATAAGTTTAAGGGCTTAAGAAGGGTTTTTGCCTTTCTTTTATGGGTACCTATAAATAGAAGTAAAAATCTTGCAATTATTTTTTTTAAATAAGTGTATACAAAAACCTACGACTGTCAGAACCTGGAACGCAAGGACCCGAAAATTACTCCACCAATTGGGATATGACACGTCAACAATCAGGGTATTTCAGACAGATTACTTACCATGCGAGTGGCAACCCTAAACACCCCAAAAGTCAACTCTTATAACTTTT